TTTGCGCTATAACCAGTCATTGATAGGAGGTCAGTGAATCCTGCCTAGAGGTGTTCTCAGAAGACGAGGGGTTTCACACTGGTCGTATTTTGTGCAGTAGGCTTGTGTGCCCTTTTTGACCAAACACCACTGAGATTGGATCGCAAGTGACGCGGGGGAAGTAAAAAGTGGCAAAACACCTTGTTGAAAGCGTTCATGAGCAATGGTGGTCTGACCCCCTTGTAAAGTATCTCTACGTTTTCTGAACTATGGCAAGTTGAGATTAATGCAAATTTGGTTTGCTGACTCTTAGAATAAACTGCTCATGGGCTAAAACGAAAACAGGGAAATGGACATAACCAAGATCAACGATGGCGCAATTTAAAGAGTCACATAATCAGAGCAGTAATGTGACTTACTTTCCTTATGTTTGGAATTTTTACTTTCCAGGGCATTTAGCAGTTTGTCGATAATGTTGTGTTGTTTGAGCGTGGTTACGCCACAGCCACGAACGATTCCTGCCAACGCGTAGGCGGCTCCGCGACGCTCGGCGTAGCCCATTGATGAGAAAAGGGTTGAGAGGAGACGAGGGAAAGTCTTTTCTAACTGATCGGGTGGCAATTTAGGAGCAAGGGGCGAAAGGCAGTCTTCTACGGCTTTTTGAACCTAAAGGCGCCAAAAACTAGCACTTACTCCCATCGTGTGTAAGCAAATGGTCGAAAACCGGCTCCGGTTAATTACATGCCTCTAGCACAATAGGGGAAGATATCCAGAATGGTTAACGAATCATGCAAAACGAAAAACCAGGAAAACTCAAATACTACTTGCACATTAAAATTGTTTCATTGGAAAATATAAGTTGTTAAGTTGTTGTTAATCAACAGAACAAAACGCTAACGAAAGACAAGGATAGATGGGTGAAGAGTGTTTACTCACCACATCAGCAGGAAAGCTGACGGCGGAGAGAAGGCGACTGAAAATACTGCCGACGCGGGGATCATCGGGTCCCAGGTATTTGGCCAACGAGCCTAGAAGTACCACTACTGACTGTCGCACCATATCGAGTTCTGCCACGTTGGGCGCCTTGTTCAAAAAGGCCTCCAAAACTTGCAACATCTGCTGCAGATTAGTCTGCCAAAGAAGTGAATGTTAGGCATTTTCCCTGACGCTGGAACTGAGCGTTTATTCGTTTTATGCAGAATATGAACACCTCCACAGGTTTAGACCTAATTGTTGCATGGTTTATCTGCTCGAAAGTTCAACCTCATTAGGATTTATATCAAGCCAACCAATGCAAACGCACCGAATAAGCTATGTTTGCGATGTCTACCGGGAAATCCACATTACTGGCACTCAGTAATACGTCAGAACACACTTCTAGCAAGGTCTTGAGCTGCGATAGGTATTACACTAAAACCCAACAGGACTCGGCAAATTAATATACAAACCGATATTAGATTGGATTTAAGTTTATAAGACTAATAATAAAAAAACAGGACCCCGGACCCAGCACAGACTCGGAAAACGGGAAGCAAAGTTTCAATTCGGATATTGCTACTTAAAATCAAAGGGTAAATACGTTCATGCTAAAAGGCAACGTACAACCCCATATTCTCGTGTTGCGGCAAGCCCTGCCTGCAGGAGGGCGTAGCGAACCTCCTCATCAGGGTCGTGGAGACCTTCATCAACAAGAAATCGGAAGATTTTCTGTAGCCAGGCCCCAGCCTTCTGTTGCTTAATGCTGGCGCCGTCTATGACGGCGGTGGTGGGAGCAGCAGAGGAAATCGTGACGTCGCCATTATCCAGTCGCAAGTTTGGGTAGTAGCCCGGTGAGCGAGAACAGCCGACGATGGCAGCTAAGGCGCGCGCAAGACCGATACGCTGGGAGGTGTATTTCGAGGGAGATGGAGTAACTGGCTTGCCATACATATCGGTTTTTGATTGGGGCTTCTGAAACAGACACAAGGAAAGCAAATTAAAGCGAATCGACCAATTCGTGGATACCTACCACGCAAAGCCTCGAGAGTACCAAAAAAATCGGAGCAGCACATAATTAATTCAAGTATTTCCACTAGAACATATAACGACGAATTTACCAGTTGCATACAACAATTCACGACAACAAAGCAGATAATAAATCTATGTAGGTGAAAACAAAATAGGCCATATCAATGGTGCCAATTCGTGAGTACTTTTCGTAAAAAGTAAGCAGCTGTTAAGGGGGAGAAAACAAACCTCCATAAGACAACGGTATATCTCAAGCCAATAGTCTAGCACATGCTGAATCTCCTCCTGGGATTTCCCATTGACGCATCGTTGAAGAGCACTCGCAGTCGCCATCTGAATGTCGACTGGTGTTCGAATGGATTCGAGGAGGAGGCGGGTCGCTAGAGCGGTGGGCTGGAGTGCGCTGGGGTTATGTGGTTGGGACAGCAAAACCAAACGCCGATCAGACGTCCGGTCATTGTCGCTTTCCAGCTCTTCCTCTAGTTCACAACAAGCTCGTAATCCCAATCTTAACCAAAGGCTTAAAAGATGCAAGAAGGCGGTATTTAGTAAGATGGTTGAGACATAAAAAGACGACAATAAATACAGCTTGACTAGATTAAGGCTCAGACGTTTCCCATAGTTTTAAATGGCATTGGGTTTGTAGTAGCATTCATCACCACTCCATCAACAGCATTGTGTATTTGCGAAGCTCTATACTTTGCCAACATTGGGGCAAATTAAACATTACATAATATATGTAATTATTCTTCAGTATCCAAACTAAAAAAAAGAGCAAAATATGATTCCATTTCCCCATATCAACCAGCGCTAAAACACAAACAATGATGGTTCTAAAACACATGTCGTTTGATTAATAAACTTTCTACCCAATTAAAAATGACTTCAGTTGAACAATAAGTCAGGAAGACAAATTCAGGGTCCCATCACCTCCCAAAACCAAACCTCTAAATGGCTTCGACTACCTTCTCTGTGAGTTATCGCATGACACAACGGGATACCTGATAGGATTCGCAGCTATTGATTTAAAAAAGTACCCACTCAGAATCAATAAATGGCGCTGTGAATACGTTGCAACACAATTTTGCGAGGTTCACCGAAGAGGTTGAGAAGATGTGCACTTGGATAACGAGACGCCAAGGTGGATAATGCATCAAATGACTGTTTTGAATTATTTAAAATTCCGTGTAGATACTGAGAACGACCTTCAGCTCATTAAGCACTACAACGTCTTGGTCGCAACACGCTTTCATATTCTAACACGCTGAATTCTGTTTCGAGCACAGCTGCGTGATTGGGTTTTGACGTGTGGGGCAGCGCAAGCAACTGAATACAATCTAGCAAAAGCACAAATTATGGACCTTTCTGCGTCGATGGCAACTTCTACAGAGGGATCGCATCTCGAAACGAAGAGTCGAAGCTGTGTGTTGGCGAAAAGAGTGAGCGGAGGCCAATTGGCGGGATCAGCAAGGCCCTCGTTCATGCTCAGTCCGATGCAGCCCATGGCCATGTTCGAGGAAGCTTCCAGAGCAGCCTTCTTTTTCTTCTTTTTTTGAGATTTATTGAGATTTCCACCGGCAGATTTACCCATAGTGTTTGTACTTGAAATTTTCGCCACTCCTTCCTTCTGGTCTGTTTCTTGTATGGTAGAGTCATTATCAGTTACGGCAGCTTTAATATGCGGCGGTGATGGTGAACATAGGTTGTGAGTGAAACATTCCGGAAGACATTTCGCGAAAGCAATCATGCACTAAAAGTGAATGAAAAACAAAGACTTAGCCGGGTTAGATAGTGAGGGTTAGAGTACCATTGACCAGCAAGGCGTTTTGCCACTTTTTACCTCCCCGCGTCACTGTCGATCCAATCTCTCAGTGGTGTTTGGTCAAAAAGGGCACACAAGCCTACTGCACAAAATACGACTAGTGTGAAACCCCTCGTCTTCTGAGAACACCTCTAGGCAGGATTCACTGACCTCCTATCAATGACTGGTTATAGCGCAAAATTAATTTGACCAATGAATGAGTAGTTATACGACTTTTCCTCGCAGCTAAAGCAAGTTATAGTTCAACACAGTTGACCTTGGAGCGAGTCCAGTGTAGTCGCTGGAACTGAACTCACCCCACAATCGGGGAATGTCGGTTCATATCCCCAACTGTTGTACGGAAGGTAATTCCTGTAAAAAAATATCGACTTGGCCTCTGAGTAGCCTTGGAATCCCAACCTAACGCTCGACACTGCCGTGGGATTTGATAATACGTCCAGTCCGACTTACCGCATTTCAATCCACTTCGCCGTGATGGCAGGTTGAAATTGATGCAAACTTATTTTGCACGGGCGGCGGTCATTTGTGTGATTAAATTCTGTCGTTCTTGAAGATTTTCTCGCTGGTTGTCGAGGTTTTTCTAAAACACTTTTACATTTGTGTAAAATGGGAGATGGGCTTCTACTTGTTGTCCTCTTATTTTGGTTTCATTAACCAAAGTTTGTGTTTTTTTTCAAGGTGCTCTTTTTGCTTTCGAGCGTCTGTCACTCGCGCTTGGTCGAATTTTCGAGCCATACGTCGTGAAACTTATTCCCCAACTCTTGAACTGTTTTGGGGACTCAAATCTGGGCGTACGCGAAGTGAGTTAGTGACCCTTCATCAGCACTTATTTGTTGTATCAAGTAACTTTTCTTTGCCTCCAGTGATCATTTGCTTATTGAATTCACGGGTATGCCTGTCTTTACCTTGTTATGCTCTATTTTGTATGAGAAGAATATCACCATCCCATTGATCTGGTATATTCTATTTCACTCGGTGATTCTTTACTTCTTTCTTAAGGCGGCCTCAGTGACGAGTCAGGCGGTGATGAGCAAATTGAGCGCACATGGAATAAAACTGATTCTTCCAATTCTGCTTAAAGTGATTGATGAAGACAGCCCCTGGCGAACAAAGTGTCGTAAGTTATAGGCTAGAATTGGAGCCCTGTATGACATGCGATTTCGTGTGATGAACCGTGCTTTTGTGCCTTGTTCTCATCTTTCCGGTTTTACTGACTGTCCATCAGATTTTCTTCTAGCTAATGTATGGTGACGTTTTGCTCCATCTCTTGAACTGTGCAGTTCTCCCGTTTTTCAGTTTAATCGACGGCGCTAGTAGGTGTAGCATAGTAGCAAATTTCAATGCAACTGTTGGTAGTCTTGTGCTAAAAGTGTGATCGTAAGTAATGCAATCCGCGGATTCTCCCTGTACTAACTAGACGCCAGCGTGGTGTTTGTATAAACAACTGCTTGAATAGGATTTCGTCGATCATAGCCGTCGACAGCTTACGAAAGATCTGGGATGCATCCGCCGGGTAAAGTTGTTCCACTAAACAATCAGTTGTTCAAAAAGGGCATTCCTACATACCTGACAAGCAGGCATTGAGTTCACGCGAACTGATTTTAGGCGTTACCTCTTACGATTCTCATCAGGTCTTTAACGGAGTCTGTTTGCCCCTTTTTTCAGAGGCCGTTGAGGTGTTGGCCACAATGACAAGCTGCGCGCCAAAGCAGCTCTCCTCGTGTCTTCCACAGATCGTTCCACGTATTCTTAACGTTCTCATCGATTCTCAAGAGGGTGTGAAGAAAGCTGGGGCTAACGCCCTCGAACACATTGGAACTGTAATACGCAATCCCGAAATTCAGGGTAATTCTTGCATAAAACTGAAGTTGATGCCCAAATCTATAATTATGGTCTTTGAATGACCATTATTCCACCCGGAAGATTTCTTTCCTAATCAATAACTATTTTGTTCGTGTTTTGAGCTGTTGCAAGCCAATTTTGGTTATTTATAAAACTTCAGGTCATGCTACACTTTTGGGATTGTATTACCTGATTTTCTAATAATTGATATTAATTGTACATTTATGCTTCAGGGGTACATTCAGGTTAATGTGCGGCCGTCCTGCACGAAGCCACGAATTCCCTGTGTCTTGGTGAATTAAAGTAAACGATTCAACTACTTGATTTTAGCCCGATCCAAACAATTTAAAAAGACGTTACAAATAATCGATGTATGAAAAATTCCCTATTGTACATGTACTAAAAATGAAAAACGGCTCAAGATTGTATCTAGTTGAGTATTCGATGATTGCCTGTAAAGTGACTGCGTTGTTTCCACGTTGCTAACAGTAAGGAAGATGGGTGTAGATCGCTCGCTGCACAGCACTGACCGAACTTCATGCCCACACATTGCCTAGAGTAATCACATGTATGTACAAAATGACCAAGCACGTAGTAAATGCTTATTTTGCCATTTCAATACAAACAATTCACCATAATTTTTCTTTAAATTAAGACCCTCATTCTTACTCACCAACCAGCCATTGGTACATACCTGTGTTTTTAACTTGGGGTATTTTGTCTAAAGGCAGCTTCTTGTTGAAAGGTCTTGACTTTGTCTATGTAGTAACTGTAACCATCCGTAAGCTGCTTTGCAAATTTTAACATTTCTGCCTTTGTTTTATTGGTAGTGGCCTTTCGAGGTGTTAATTTTGCCCAAATCTCGGCCTTTTCATGCGTCTTTTGCTGAACGCTGGCACGAAATCGACCATGTTGTGTCATCGATTTGTATTTATTGGTTTTTGGCGAAACTGAATTTATTCTGACCAACTGTTGGGTTTTTTCCTTTCTCCATATAAATTCCTCAATTACATAATTTGTCATGCAGTCCCCAAAATTTTGGGCTGTAATACCCCAAGTACAAACCTGATCTCGCTTATCCTCGCCCCTTCTCTGTTACTGATGGCGCACCGCTGAATCATTTAGGCGTGGTCTTTGTGTGTGTATTAGCGGAACGCTCAGACCAATAAGGGATTTAAACAGCTTGTATTCCTTTTTACCCCCCTTGTGCTTTGATGTGCTCTTGTGCCTGCTAGGTCGTGCACGGGAATGCATGATCATGCGTGTTAGCAAAAGCAGTGGCGACGCTGAGAAGGGAGGCGAGGGACGAGATGACACGCTGATGGCTCGCCGAGGTGTCTGAACATGCATCGGTAGACTTGGTGGACGTTGGTCATTACGATTTACTACAGCACAATTTACCAGACATATCCTAGTGGTGTGGATTTCATTCAGTACTAAACACGAATTGCATCGATTTCTTGGTGACTTTGTTCTGCACCATAACTTGTCCTGACGTGTGGTGGCAATGTTTATTGAATGTGTTTATTTAGTTCCGTAAATACCCACGTATTGTTTTGCCTTCTCTCTTAGCCTTAGTCCCTTGTCTGATCAAGAGCTTACAAGACCCACTGGCCGACAAGATGACCTGTCTGCTAACCCTTCGGGACACCTGCTTCACCCACATTGTCGACGCAGCTAGCTTGGCTCTAATCATGCCGGTCTTGCAGCGTGCCTTCGACGACCGTTCCACGGAGATTCGGAAGATTGCGGCGCAGATCTTTGGCACGTTGTATAGCCTTGCGCGCAAGGAGGATCTTGAGCCCTATATCCCCCGAATCTTGCCTGGTCTCAGGGGGTGCCTCCTTGATCCCGTTCCAGAGGTTCGGTCTGTTACTGCTCGAGCCCTGGGTGCTATGGTTAAAGGCATCGGGGAGGCTTGCTCAAAGGTCAGCTCTTCGACTTTAAAAGTGCATTTTTCGGTCGTATGTAATTCTTACTGCCTGTTTTTCGCCCATTTTTTTTTCTTAACCAACAAGTCAGGTATCTGGTAATACCATTTCACGGGGGAAATACACTGTTTTCTCTTGAATTGAACGGGATTGAACAAATCTACTATAGTGTAGTATTCAGTGGTGTGCCTTAAAGTAGTTTCTTACGACTCACATACGCATACTGTATTTTGCCAGGGCGTACGTTGTTTAGTCAGCTGCAATAAGAAGAGAATTCAACGCCTTACAAGGTTGACTTGATGCTAAAACAGCATCCTGTAGTGATGAGACACGATGAGGTCTTGAAATCTTATTTTCTGCAGGTTTTTTTGTCACAGCTACTTCAAATTTCTGAATCTGATAACAAGTCATTCGGTTGTGCATCACTTTATCCAACATTTTGGTTGTCTTCAGGACCTACTACCTTGGCTAATATCCACGTTGACTTCTGAGCAGTCGTCGGTTGATCGCTCGGGAGCTGCACAGGGTCTAGCTGAAGTTCTTGGCGGGATGGGCCTTTCGCGTCTCCAATCAATTCTGCCTGATTTTATTCGCACTGCGGAGGCCACCAACATCCAACCTTTCGTCCGTGATGGATACCTCATGCTCTTCATCTACCTACCCGAGGTCTTTCGTAACGAATTTTCACCCTTCATCACTCCTGTCCTCTCGCCTATCCTTAAAGTGAGCTTGTCTTCTTTTTTTCTGGCCTCGTTTGCAATTTAAGCATTTTAAATCAAAACTTCTACCCGGTTCTACTTTCAATGGTCTCCCATTTCCATGGCGTACAAAAACTACGTAATTCGGAAACGATGTAGATCCTAACTACTAAAGAAGCCCCGTTACTCAAAGGTACTCTTGACATTGTTTTAATCTTTCTATGACTGGGATCATGAATGGATGGACCAACTTAATCGGTTGCCACCTAGACATTTGTATTCAATCTTATCGATTCTTTTTCGTTGCCCATTTATCTCAATTACTCAGCGGTGGTATTTTCCAAAACACCACCCTCCCTAAGTATGTGACGGTATTTCACCATGTTGAGTTCGTTTTCATACTGAATAATTTTGTCACTAATATCATTCTGAAGGAATGCCCAACTTAACCCTGCTTTTCCTTTTCAAGGCTCTTGCTGATGAGTGCGAGTATCTTCGTGAAACTGCTTTGAAAGCTGGTCAGCGGATTATCGATCTGTTCGCAAATGAAGCAGTGAAATTGTTGCTACCTGAATTGGAGAAAGGTCTTCTTAGTGTAGATTGGCGTATCCGCCATTCATCCCTGCAACTTATTGGGGACCTACTTTACAAACTCTCAGGTGTCTCTGGCAAGGGTACCACAAAAGTGAGCATCTGTTTCTTTCTCCTGGTTTACTTAACTTGACAGGTCCTAGTAAACACGCTGGTATATGCTATGCGTAGCATGCAGACTCATCATCTGCAACCATTTGGCAGTGTTCAAACTTGCATTGCATCTAATGCTTGATTCAAAAGTGATGCAATTACTTCGTCCGCCAAACCTACTTTCTAATTATCTTCAACCAGCAGAATACTTTCGAAAAATCAAGGTTTTTGCGTTGTACTTCGCTCTGCTGATACTATCAGTTCTGGTGACCGTTTCAGAATGGCCTATGGCGTTCTCGATTCTATCCGCACCTTGTTGGAAGCAACATTTATATCAGTGGGCTAATTTTGATGTCCCGTCTGATCTCATAACTATCCCGCCAAATGGGCTCCATGCAAGAACCAACAGCAATTTTGATGAAAATTTGGGCCTATTTTATTTTCACCACCCACTATTGCTAGTAATTGTTTTCTCAGTGCTTATCACTCAAATAGATTTCATGCTACTTCTCACTGATTGTAAGACAACAAACACAACCAGTTTTGTGTTTATCAGGCGTATTGTTCCCGTTTATAGTAATTTGCCGCAGAAACATATTTAGGTGCCCCTGGTTCGCTAGTGGCATTGCACTTATATCGGTTTTGAGGAGTACGACACAGGCGAATCTGGTTTATTTTTGACATGCTCGTCCCCTTTTGATAGACTGCAGACGAGGACGACACCTTTGGCACGGATGTGGCAAGTTCGCGAATTCTCAAAGCCCTGGGTGAGGAACGACGGAATCGTGTGCTGGCGCGTCTTCACATCGCCCGCTCAGACCCGACTTATCTCGTGCGCAACGCAGCCAGTCACATCTGGAAGATTGTCGTGGTCAATACACCACGTACCTTGCGCGAACTCATGCCTATTCTTGTCCAGCTACTGCTCACAACCCTCGGGTCTGGCCTCCGCGAACACCAACAGGTGATTGAGCTCACCGCCCCCTCTTTTTACAAAAAAATTAGTACATTAAAAACCAGAAACCTGTACTCTCAGCCAAGACCACTGAGTGTTAAGTGTCTTTGTCGCCGAGCCTGCAGATAGTGCCATGTGAATACCAAGCGTAATTCAACGTACTCAATTATTCAGCAATATTTTGATTCCGTTAGCAATAACTCAAGCCAGAAAGATGGTGACAGCCTTAGTGTGTAAACTCTTTCCTCTCTTATTACAACCAATGATCATTACTTTTACCGAATTATGCATGCCGTCGTGTAGGTAAACCCCTCTTTTCAAAATGGTTTCATCGAGTCGTGTCTGATAGGAGTTAACCTTTTGACGTACATTGGTACCTCTGCTCGTAAAGACGCCTTTTGACTCACTTTGTGCCAAAGTTTGTGGCACCTTTGAAATCTCCATTATCAAATTCTACAACCTTTGAAGCGTTTAAATTGATAAATCTAAGCATAGGTACCTTATCTTGGCGAATTGGTGTTTAGCATCTATCCAAGATCACCACAATCCACTCCTAAATGAATCAGCTAAAAATGTTACATGAATTTCAGCATCTAGGTTTGCGTGAATCAAACCAATTTCCATCGTATCTCTGTATATTAACTCGTGGATTAGTAAGATAATTTTTGAAATATTTAGTTGAATGCTGTTCTTATGTATGGAATTCTTTGCCTAGGTTGCTGGTCGTGCGCTTGGTGACCTTGTGCGTAAGTTGGGTGATCGCGTTCTACCTGAAGTAATTCCCCATTTGGAAGAAGGACTCAATTCGCCCGATGACAATAAACGTCGTGGAGTCTGCAATGGCCTCATTGAAATTATGCGCAATTGTCAATCAGAACAGGTAGGCTGGAGATTTCCACTTTGTTGTAACTGCTGTTTTGATTCTAATTAGCATGTTAAATAAATCAACAGTAGCCAATATGGCGAAAATAGTGGGGCTTAACCTCGAAGTCTCTTTAATCGTCGAGAAAATGTTACAGCATTGCTTCACACCTGGCCAAGCGTGCGCTGTAGTGAGATCCACCTATTCGCGCAGTAGAAGCATACACTGAATGTACTCGCCTTACCTACGTTTTAGATTGTCAGTTTCTCAGACCATCTAACTTCGCCGATTCGCCGTAGCTTGACCGATCCGTCGCCAGAGGTCCGCAAGGCTGGTGCTCGTGCGTTCGATCTCCTCTATAGTGGAATTCACTTACGCGCTGTTGATGACATCCTTCCTGACATGTTCGTTCAACTCGACGATCCCCGCACGAAGGAAGATGCGCTCGATGGCATTCGTCAATTACTAGCTTTGCGGGGCCGTGCTGTCATGCCCTACCTTGTTCCCAAGCTAACGCAACCCCGTCTCGACGCCAAAACCTTTGCTTTTCTCGCTCCCATCGCTGGAGATACCCTGACTCGCCACCTGGTCCGGATTCTTCCCTCCTTCTTACAGGCAGCCTCTGAAGTTCCAGCCACCGAAAAGGAGAGTAGCGATCTGGGCTACTGCACCATTGTACTCACATCCATTGGAGATATTACAGGTGTTCGACTAATTCTACAGGAGTTGATAAGCGGTCTCTCATTGACCGACTCGGCTAGTGCCTCTCAAATTTCCGTTCCTGGTCTAAAACCTAACTCAACGTCATACTGCTACGCCTCATTGAGACTGCTACACGTTTATCTCGATTCCTGTTTCACAATTGAGGAGACTACTTCGGCCTCACCTGGCATCAACCTAAGCAAGCCAGTCGCGAATCAGCCAGTTAAAACGAGAAAAGTTTCCAACGAACAAGAAGATTCAGATGATGAGGATGATGATAGCAATGTGTCGTATGATGAAGAAAGTGATTCTGAAAGTGATCTAGACGAAAATGCGGAAGACGAAGAGGATTTCCAAGAAAGCGAAAGCGAGGATGCCCGACCGGATCCGAAGAAGATTGTTCAGGAATTGATGCCCGATTACTATCCCTCACTTCTGCGGTATTTGACTAGGCTGCTTACTGTGAATGATGACTCTATACTAACATACTCCTGGGCCTGCTTAGAATCAGTTCTCAAGGTGGGTTCTAATTGTTTTGTCTTGTCCAATCTCTTTTTACTTTGTCTCCTTCACCGTTCTTTAGTGTGTCATTAATTTTCCTCTTGTTTGTAGTACTGGAGCGCAGTTTCTATGTCAGCCACACAAGTGCATGAACTTCGACAGGCCTTAAAGAGCGCACTCGGGGAGTTCTTGCGAAGCCAGTCCCGCCTCACTCTCGACAAACAGTCATCACAGCAGCACTCACGCCAGGAAATTCTAATCCCCGGTTTCTCCAAGCCCGGCCTCCCTCTGCCTTCGCTTGTTCGTTTCTACGCCGAGTGCATTCTTCGCGGCCATCCTGACGCCAAGGAGCCTGCCGCCCAGGGCCTTGCCGAGTGTGTGGCTCTCTCAAGCGGTGCCGCAATTCAGCCATGTGTTATTAAAGTTCTCGGCCCCATGATTCGTCTGCTTGGCGAACGACAACCCAGTGCCATTAAGTCTGCCATCGTTGAAAGTCTCGCTGCACTCATTGAGAAGGTTTGTGCTTAATTGTTTTTTTTGGTTTGTCATATCCATCGTGCTTTGTGCGTCAGGCTCAGTAGAGCTTCTTTCTCATTAACCTCTTAAATTCTCTTCCCCTTATACGTTGTTGTTGTTGTTTTTGTTTTTGGCGTACACCATTTTGCTGTCACTTTTTTAGTCGGGTTTAGTATCTTATGATTGAGCATCCCTAAGTTCCTTTTCGTCTTGTCGTCAACACGAAGGCCGATAGGGAGGACTTTCCAGTGTATTTCCGATCGATAAATGCCTTTGGGAAACACGTACTGGGATTTCATCGTCTGGCCTTCGTTTACAGTGCCCGACGTCCACTCGACCATTCACGCCACAACTGCAGGCCACCTTCACTAAGGCCCTTGGTGACAGTCACAGACAGATTCGTCTCTTGGGCGGCAGAGGCCTCTCAAATCTAGCCACAATGACACCCAAGCTAGATGTTCTACTTGTTGATTTATCGAATGCTGCAGCCTCGCCGTTCAAGATAACTCTTCCCAATCCTCCCGTTACTCCGTCAGTGGGACCTCACGTTCAGGTGCTCGCTGCGGCTGGCGCGTACCCGTGAGTCCTCTTCGTGAATTTTTTTGTGCGATGACCGGTAGAGCGCAGTGAGGGAAGTGTTTCAAATGGTTGTGTGCGCTGTCCTTTGGGACGCCGCTCGTCTCCCGTTGGGTGAATTGAGCACCCAAAGCGCTATATTTTTTACTCTTTGCATCGTTTGACTATGTCGATGTGCATGTCCTTTCTCGTCCTAAACGATAAGCTCCTGTAAATGTACACGCGGTTTCTGAAACGCTTTAAAATGATAAAACCCTGTGAATATCCGTATTTACTGTTCAGGAAATTCAATAAATAAATAAGATGTTACTCATTTTGTGCACGTGTTTATTGAAGCTGGTGTCGAAATATTAGTCATTCCTTCTGGAATGAAACAGACCGTAGCTAAATTGAACACGGCACAAACAGTGATCCCAACCTAATCCCCATGAAACAACCTTCAGTGTAAAATGAAGGCGCTTCAACGAGGTAATTAACTTCATTTGAGCGTTATCAATTGATAGTTAATCCTTCCGCTACCATCCACTCTGGTGGTTTGACTTGTATGGAATCAACTCTGTCTCGTATGTTATTTTAATTAGTGAAGAGTAATAGTTTTGCTTCATGGGTGCCATTTTTGCTGCATCAACCCGAAATTGAATCGCCCTACCCATATGCCATGCTAACACTAGTTGTGCATTTTAGGCTTCGTCATCATCATCATCATCATTCGATAACTCCTGTCAATTATCGTTGTCCTCATGTTCCACAGCAGTCCACAAATGGCTTAGTACCAAATCAATTCAGTTTACACATAGTGGGGTATTTGACACATTTTGTGCTTTTTTGGTGAGAAAATTGTGCAATCTGACACACCCTAGCAATGGCTGCCGAGTAAATGTTTCTGGAATCACATTTCGCTTATTCGCTAAATCACGGGCAACAGACAGCAAGTTCGCTTGCTGGCAGTTTCAACACAGCACACTTTCTCCTCTTATATTTTTATTCACTTTATACTAACCTGGTCACAGTTAGGCAAGCGAACTCAAACAATTGGACAATGCATTAGAGCGCGTAGGCGGTAACCACATGCATGATCACTGTTCTAGAAATTCCGATCCACATAATGCATTCTGGCACACATCTTGCGCATTCCAAAGACAGCTAACACTTATCTAAACACAGGTTACGGCGAAGATATGTTGTAAGGGCCGATTTCATAACAGAAATATCCCTTTCCATGTGCCACGCAGTCTGAGTTGATTGTAGTCAACTGACGTACCATCAAAACAGCCTCTGTATTTTACACGATTTGCTAAACCTACTGCTTCCCAGACGGGGAAATACATAGGGTCTAGACTAATGAAATGACCACATGAACTCCTGCAGACTCAGTATAATGCTCATGGAAAGGCCAGTTACCAAATATTTCTTTTATTGTATCGAATGCTTGCACCCACCTCGTGCTTTAGTGACACCACCCTTCAAGCCTTGCGTCTGTGCCTTGAGAAGTCGAAGGGCAAGCCGAAGTTAGCGACCCTACAAACCGTCCTTGGCTACGTTGTTCCTATGGGAAGGCTGGCGGAAGCGTCTGGCTCCATCGACGAAGAGGTGGCGTCGTTGGTTTTTGTGCGGAGGGCTGCGAGTGCCTGTGTCGGTGCCGCACTGGCTTCTGCCGCTTCGACCTCCGACACCGCATTCCGTGACGTGTCCTCCCTTGTGCCCTGGTGTCAGGCCTCCTCTGGTACGACCTTGCGCGTTGTCATTTCAGCGCAAAAGTCCACAAACACGCTGCTTCTTCATTTCTAAATTGCTGTGGTGCAAGTGTATAGCGCTATCTAGCTGCCCCCTTGCTGGATTCTTTTCACGTCAGCGATGGACACTGGATGGCTCCATTGCTTGTAATTATGCAACCCATATTTCTGAATTTTGCGAACCCTCGAAGGTTGTTAATTGCTTCACTCACACACTGCTACCGTCGTCGTCGTGGGTCCCCCACCTCGTGCAGGAAGATAGGGTTAGGCCACTGAATATACGCATTCTCAACCTCCTTAATGACTGTCTTCATGTCTCGTGGGTTTAAGAGAGGTGTTACCACAAGTTGCGATCCTATCCAGTGTTTCGGGGCGTGTTTGTTTCCACTTAGTGCGTGCATCCTATCGCGC